AGTGCCAGTCATCCCACCACGTTTCCGTGGCGGCAACTCTCACGATATCAACGGTCAGTACACACTGAGAGGCCGATGAAGGGTGCCTGCTCCCTCCCGCCAGCTCTGTACCTCACAGAGGAAGGTGAAGATGCCCTGATGTTCCTTGAGGAGCTTGGCAATGGTGAGGCTGCTCTGCTTGATCCCACCTAGCGGGTCAAAGAGGAGGTCACGGTTGAGGGTCCCCTTCCTCTCCTCCGTCCACACGTCGATCTCTTCCTGGTGGTACGCGAAGGTGCAGTTATCCCCGTACTTACAGTCCTGCTTGTTAAGCATATCTACAAAGCAACAGACAGCACACACCACCACACAGGGAGGGCGGCCCAGTCAGAAACTAAACTCTCTCTTGTCTCCTCCCGCTGCCCACACCTCACAAGGAGCTGAAAGCAAGAAAACACAGACTTACAGAAAAAAGGAAAGACATCTCCCCCCAGCTTTGTCTCTCCCAAGACATTCAGGAAAGTTAATGCAACCTAGGGAATGGTGACCACCTCAAGGAATGCCATCTCTTGTGGGAACCACCTCAAGGTGACAGCCCGGGCTAAGTCAGTGCCTGGCCAGGACAGACTTAACCAACCCCTTTGAAAGCCAATCCAGATTAAGTTCCCAGCGGCCCAGCACTAAGGAGCCCTGTTATCCTGGCTCTTGCCAACTTTGCAGTGACACTGCCCCAGGGACCAGCCCAGTCGCAATCCCTGCATGTACGGGGGGATGGGCTGGAGCGAAGGAGCAGGCAGAGCGAGCTTTAACCTAGGCAGAACCACCGCCCTGCCCTGAGGCTGCTGGGTGCAGTGGAACTAACGCAGGCACATGTACAGGAGGCAGGTTCTTAGCAAAGCCCATGGCAAGCAGGCAGCACTGAGCGCTCGGCTGTGCACAGCGCCTCACTTGAAGAGCCTCTGGACTCTTCTGCTCCACCATGTCAAAAGCTCTCTGCTCTCCTCAGCATGGCAGCTCGCTGCCTTTCACTGTACTGAGCCTCCCAGTCCATGGGCTCCTGGTGGGACAGGAATCCCCAAAGACAGCAAGGTGATGCCAACTGGAAGTCCGCTCCCAACCTCCCCTGGCACGCACCATACAGCCCCCTCCCAGCCACCAACAGCTCCTATCCCCTGCAGATCACCTTTGCACAGGTAATAGGATCCGACAAAGTTGGTTTTGGTTGGGCGAGGACGGATCCTCTTCCAGGTCTTGTCTTCCGAATTCTTCAGCCTGCCCAGCAGGATGTCCCGCTTGCACTTGTGCTCCAAGCCTTCCCGATAGGTGTAATCTCCAGCCTTGGGCCCTGCACGAGAGAATAACGCCATCAGCCAGGGGAAAGGCAAACCCCAACCCGGGTCAGCGCTCCGGCTGGCGGAGCAAACGCATCACCTGTTTTGGGGTAGCAGATATGACAGGCTTGTTTGAAGACGTGAGTAGATGCCAGTGGGTTCTTCACCAGCAGGGCTGTGTTGGGCATTACTGGTTCCGGCTGGGACAGCAGGTGCTCGGGGACCTTGGGCACAGCTGGGTGACTCACTCCCCCAAGGCTGACCTGGGTGGAAACACACGTACCTCTCTTCTCAGTTCTGCCACCATGTGGGTAAGAAACCTCTCTAATCCCTTGCCCAATTCCAGTCTCTCAAAAACCTCGTTTTCTCTCTCATCAGAATGTTCACATGTGACCCTACATTTCCAAAAGAGCTGCACGCAACCGTCTCAAAGGTAACAGACAGCGTGGTGCGTTCGCTTCAAAGACGGGTCTCCTGCTTGGTAAGGGACCTCAGTTTTCTATCATGAACTGTAGGACAAAATGCCCCACTCACTCCTTCCCATTCCTTCCATCATGACCAACTCTGCATGTGAAGACTCTCAAATCAACCCCATCCCAACCTGGGAGACAAACCAAACCACTTATCGGTGAGTCTTCACGGAGCAGATTAACCTGAGGCCAGACACTCCAGCTCCACAATGAAGTAACAGGGATAGCAGGACATCAGGAAATTCTTGTTCCAAGCTTGGTAACCACAGATAATCCTTCCCTTTTCCTCCAAGACTGGAGACAAGGGACGGGGCAGGAGAGTGTATCTGGAAAAACCTCCTGACAGGGGCAGAGGGGAGCAAAGAACCCCACTAGTTTTAAGGCAAAGCTGGCTGACTGTCCCATCCCACAGTGTTAGGTGGCTGCCACAGACTGCCACACGGGCCCCCACGATCCCGCGTTGAGCCTGCCACCTCGGTCACACCACGGACACCCTGACAACACCCAGAGTTGCAGACAAAGAGGAAGATGGAATGAACGTTTTCCTACTGACTCTGGGGAAATCTTCACCTGCCTTGCCACCACAGGGGGGGCAGGTTAAGAAGGGGGGTCCAAATTACCTACATCACCCAAGTCACTACTACCTTGGCTCCAGAGCACCTTGGGACATCGTCACGGGGGAGCGGCTCACTCACCACGGGGGATGGTTTTTGGCTGCCGGGTGGGTGTCGCAGTTCCTGAGGGCTGGTTTCTTCTGGGTAAAAGAAGGAGAAAAAAGCCCCACAAAACAAAAGCAATAATTTCACTTTCAGAAGCAGTTATGCTCACAAAACCACAAACAAGTCCTTATTAAATTCATTTGCTTTATTTATTACATAACATTTTAGTACTTTTCCCCAAACTACCTGTCTAAGTCTTGGAAAAATTCCAGGAAGGGCTTTCATGTTCTCCAAACCTTACTGAACCCAGCTATGCTGCTGAGCTCTGGCATTGCCAAGGTGGCAACTCCAAGGTAGCCCAAAGCTGAGGTGAATCTGAGTGTTACAGCACTGACTGGACAATCCCTGCTCTTCTCAAACTAACTCTGCTGCAGTACTGGGGACAAGTCAGCCAAGAAGAAGCCTGCCTTCCCTCCTGGGACAGGAGGGGACCTACTCTTTGCCCACCATCCTCCACAGCTCTGTTCCTTGTGACATGAGAGTGCAGTGCCCCGTTTGACAGGACACTCACTGCCCTGAATGCAGAGATGGGAGAGATCCACTTTGGCTTCCACCATGCTGCCCAGAGCAAAAGGGTCACCAGGATTTTGTTCATTTGGTCCAAAATGTCAAAAAGTCACTGGGGAGGGCAGAGGAATCATGTTACAGCCAAGAAAATTCTGCCAAGGGAGGTGTCCTGGACACCAAGCCAGGTTTAAATCTCATCGCTCATCACCATAAGCCTTTGTGTTCCTTTCTCCTCTGAGATTTCACAGCATGGACATACTGGTTATCGGGATTACACACACCTACAGCCTTTCTCATTACTCCTGAGCTGCTCCATCCAAGACATTCTCCACCTGTATTCCCATTTTGCGGCACCAGCAGAGAGAGCTACGTGACAGACGTCCTCGGCACTGACGGACGTGACTCTGGCATGCACTCACAGGTAAGGCAGGCACAAACCCCCCTCGGCCCCGCACCTACCAAGGGCAAAGGAATCCAAGGCATCCAGCGACCCTCTGCTTGTCCCAAAGGAGTCCAGGGCATCAAGCCGTGAGTCTGTGTAGGGGAGCAGATCCAGGGAATCCAGTGAATCTAAGGTGGAGGCGCCACTTCCTCCCGGCGGGGCCTCAAAGGCATCCAGGACAGAGGAGGAGGAGAGCTGCTTGGTGGGATCCATCACCAGGCCAAAGGAGGCAGGTGGCAGCGGGGTGGAGACAGGGATGCTGGCTGTCACGACTGGGGGCAGCAGCGGAGTTCCCCCCGGAAACACCGGGATCAGCTGGGGCATCTCTGTTGGCAGGTTGGTAGGAATGGCGCCCTGGACCAGAGACTTTGGGGAATCAGGATGGAGGATGATAAACAGCACATTAGAAATGAGGAACAGAAAATGAGTGAACACAGAGAGCAGCAGGCCCCCACCCAAGTGCGCACTGTATTATCTGAAGCAAAAGGATACCCAGCAGCTCCATCCACCTGCAGACTTCCCACAGACATTCCAATCCACCTACACTGTGCACAGCCTGGACCGAGGTCCCTGAGGAGGCGTCAACTACCTGAGCTCGCCAGCCCAGAAGGCAGAGCCCTGTGCTGGGCACCAAAACCAGCTCAGGTCGAGGGACAGCGCAGCTGAGCGCACACAGTGTCGAGGTCAGCGTATCGACCACTACTCATGGCACTTCTCATCAGGACTTTCTGGCTGGAGAGGTATCCTGCACGAGTGTGATTATACTGCTTCCACACCCAAGCTGGCTCGCATAACATCAGCAACACTGGCAACTAAAATCCAACAGATTTAGCTGGATCTGAATACAGATTGTCTTTACAGCCCCCAGACCTGTTCAAAGAGCTTAGGCTGGATGCAGCCTGCACAACATACAAGGAGATTTGAGCGTGCCCACTGTATAAAACACATCCACCGTTCCTGCTTCAGCGTGCTCGTTTTTACCCTCAGGCCTGCTTCAACTCCATGGACACCACAGGCCAGCGGAAGGTGGTGGTGGAGGAAGGCTACCTTGGGCACCTTTTGAGGGGCTGCACACAGCGAAGCAGGCTTGCAGGTGGGCTCTTGAGATACTCACAAGCCAGTGGCAGAAACAAGGGAAGAAATGAGTGAGTTTTGCTAGAGGAAGAGTTGGGAGGAAAGAAGAGTCAACACACATATCCGCATGCTCCAAAGACCTATTTGGAATGAGAAGCGGGGGAAGCATGCAGTGCCCACTCTTACTAGAGGGTATTGTGACCCTTCAGCGAGGGAGTCCAGGAGGGAGTCCAGTTCTTCCCCAATGATGTCCCCATCTGTGAAGTCCTCCACGCTCTCAGGCACTGGCAGGGGCACGCAGTCTGGAGCCGGGAGACACATATCCGCATGCTCCAAAGACCTATTTGGAATGAGAAGCGGGGGAAGCATGCAGTGCCCACTCTTACTAGAGGGTATTGTGACCCTTCAGCGAGGGAGTCCAGGAGGGAGTCCAGTTCTTCCCCAATGATGTCCCCATCTGTGAAGTCCTCCACGCTCTCAGGCACTGGCAGGGGCACGCAGTCTGGAGCCGGGAGCAAGCTGGCAGCAGGCAGAGAGGTGGGCAAGCCCTTTGCATCCGAGTCAGAGGGCAAAGGGGCCAGCCCCTCGCTCACGGGGATGGAGGTGGCCACAGGAGCCGGGAGGCACTGCAGGTCCATAGAGCAGTCTGTGATGAGGGAGAAACACAGCCAGTCACCCAGGAAAGCCTCTTGCAGGGGGCCAGCTGAGCACAGCCTGGCAAAACCAACACTGTACAACTCCACCAAATCACAAAACCCACGTATGCCAACCTTCCAAGAGGAGGAGCTCTGCTCTGGAGAGTTCCTGCCCTTTCATTTTTGTTCCCAGTCTCCAATGGCTCACTGATAGCTGAAATACGCTCCAAGGGCCAGTGCCCAGACTGACAGTCAGGGTTTGGCAAACACATACAGTAAGCAGGAACAACACAAAACCTGTGGCTGAGCAGTTACTGACTTCACTGTGGCCAGGACTAAAGACCAGGGGCACATAATCCAATTTCTCTATAAGCCACCACCTGGTGTTTTCTTTAACGCTACTCACTTATGCATTTGGCAGAGATCACTGCCTTCTCTGCTCCCTGGAGCTTTGGTATCCCAGCCGAAAGCTTCCTTACTCGCAAACCCCCTCTAAAACCTCAGGCATACTAAAAACCACAAGGTCCTGCTGGGAAGAGAGTCGGAGAAGGGGTGTTCAGACCAGGTTGTGCTAACAATGTGTCCCCAAAAAATCCCATCAGACTCGCTCAGCTGTCTTTATCCAAGTAAATTCCCTGCTCTTGAGTGCTTCCTGATTTGCACAGGTGAGAGGTTGCTGCTCTGGCTCCCGCTCTACACCTCTGCAGTGAACATCCCCTCGGGAACTTGTGTGAGCTGAGGTTGGGGCAGAAGAGAGGCAGTGATTTTCCCTAAGGCTTCCTTGCCTCTCCAGTACATAACTGAAATGGTAAGTCGCTCCCATCATGCAATATAAACCTCTGTTAAGTGAAGTTAAGGTTACAAGCACATATTCTTCACAGAAGAGCTTTTTATTCTCTCTCAAAAAGTCAAAGGTTAAAAAAAAAAATGTTCAAATGTTAGAAATTTGGAAAACGCAGAGTTAAATTTGCAGTTCTCAAGCCAAGCACCCAAACTACCTTAATTCTGCCCCTGTGCAGATGTCCTGGAATAAAAGAAAAGAAGTAAGACAAAGATGCTACCTCCTCCACCTACACAGCAGTGGCTGCACTGACGCTACGATGACCTAAGGCTGTACGCAAGGCAAAGTTTGGAAGGAGAGACAATGGCTTGTATTAGAAAGACTGATGAGAATGGGACAGAAACCAGACAAGCTTCCGAGACACAAATCTTGATCCAGCAAGAAATGCTGCATCCTGTCTGCACAAGCTCTGCTCCCTCAGCCATCCCTTTCTAACGGGGACTGGGCAAGTGAGCCATGCTGCTGTCCCCTACACCCCACGTTCCCTGACCCAGGAATCTGTTGGTGCCCTTCTTTGAGAGCTCAGGGCATTAGCCATCCCTGTAAACCCCCAAGTCCTGATCAAGACCACAGCAGAGACAACACACACATAGGCCCTGATATCTGTAACTCCACTGGGAGCACACCACCACCTCCTGCAACCTTTCCTCCAGCATTTGTTGGGAGTGGTCCATGTGGATGGACAACAGCCGAGGTCGCTGTGCAAGGCAGTGGAGGCTGAGCCATGACAAAAGGCAGGGAAAGCAGGAGGAAGTGGCATGGGACAGACAGAGGTCCCTCTCCACAGCCTCGTGCATGTGATGGAAGGAAAGCGTAGGCTGTACCTTACGGGATCCAACACAGGTTTTCAGCTCTGCAGCTGGACACATTCCCCACAGGCAGCAGCTCTAAGGCAGGCTGTCAACATCCTTAGTTTTGGAGCTGACCCTCAGATCAGGCTCGGCTCCAATCCCATGCCCCCTTTGCAATGACTTCTCGCAGCCCATCTCCCTTTGGCGCGGGCCTCCCAGCCGCACTCCAGCCAGTCATCCAGCTTCCCTCAGTGCTGGCCTCATTGCCGGTAGCATGGCCAGACTTCCCTCAGCACAAAGGGATAGCTTGTGCCTTCCCGTTTTTCAGATGTTTAAATCTGGAGCACAGTCAAGATCCCTCCAGGGGCCAACAAGAAGTTCAGGACACGCTGGACAGGCCAGGGACACGTGCAGGGGGGAGCAAAAGGATTCACAATGACAGGCCCCAAAAGATCCCCAAGTTCAGACCTTCCCTGAGGAATGAGCGAGGCCCTCCGGTTCCCACTCAGACTGGGAAGCAAAGAAAAGATGCCCTCACACACCCTAAGAGGCCCAAAACCCCAAAAAGTGGAACGCAAGACTGGAAGGCAGAAAACAATACAGGACCCCCCACAGCTCTGTTCATGGGAAGGGCGAGGAGAAGAGCAGACCGACAGGTTCCACCACCTGCAAGGGGCAGACCCTGTCCGCCCAAACCCTGTCATTCCCTCCTCCACTTCCTCCCATTCCCCTGCCCAATCTTTTCCCCTATCCCTCTTTTCCCACTCCCGCTTTCCTCAGGACACCCCATTTGCTGACCTCACTCACCAGCCACCATACCCACCATACTCTCTTTCCAGAAAGCTCCTGTGCCTCCTGCATTCACCTAATTCTTGTTCTGCCTAATTCTTGCTCCACCTTAAAACAGTGAAGCAGCCTGGGCAGTACAGTGCTTTTAAAAGCCTCCGCTCGGCTTCCCAAAACAGCAGGGGTTCCCGAGTGCTTGAGCCAACCAAAGGCCACACTGAGCCAGATCTGAGCCGTGATCTGTGCAGGGCAGGGCTGAGTTAACCAGGTGACTTCAAGCAAAGCACAGGGGAAAGGGGCTTCGGCAGTCTGCACCTTGAAAAGAAAACAAAGCCACAACAAACCTTGCTAAAAAAAGCTTTGAATCTGCAATCCTCGAGGCACCCAGCCCCCGCGGCCCTCCTGGTGGCACACCGCGCGCAGGGCCGTGGCATAACGTGTGATTCCAGTGCTTCTGAACAGATTTCCCGGCGGTAAAGGTCCTCTCTACCTGAAGGGTGGCCAACGCGGCATGGTGCTCTCACACCGAACCCCGGTTAGGTACAGAGCCTACTGGATGCAGCCACTCCGCACCCCACAGTCAGAGCCCACTTCATCTTAGCGGAGCGAGGTCACGCGAAAGACTCTCCTCAGCTCACAGAACCGGGTCTGACGATCGCACATGGCATTCAGCCATCGAACCGGCATTCGACAGAGAGCCAACGCCTTTCCCAAAGCACCCTAATAATGAAATCGGGGGGGGTGTGTTCTATCAAAAGACCAATAGCTGCTTGCAGCGGAGAGTCTTCACGCTTACCTTCACACACACCGCCACCCTTCAAAGGAACGAAGACCGCTGCCTTCAACGCTCCGGCACGCACCAGAGAGCAAAGCGCGCAGCAAGCCTTTCTAAAGGGGCAGAGTTAAGGTCACTTGTTTCCCGGCGTGAGAAAAGCAACCCTGTAGGCCTCCTTCTGCTCCTCCTGGGTACCTAACGCTGAACACAGCCCTCCGGGGTCCCTCCCAACTCCTTCTGTTTTCCTTTCCTCTACCTCAACGTCCTGGAGGTCTGTACGCGCTCAGAGCACAAACAGCTGCCTACAACCTTAATTTCCCTGCATCTGGACTGTTTTGGCTGGACGCAGAGTTTCAGAAGCCCTGCCAAGCCCAGCTTTAGGAAAGCACAACCGGAGAGAGCTGTGTACCTCAGCAGACCCTTTTAATTCCCAGACATGTCTCTCATCAGGCCTGGACAAAAAGCTTTTCTGCAGGAAAAACACTCCTGCTTCCCACCACCTTTTCCTCCTCCTAGTTACCAAAGCCAGGAGTGCACAGAAGAGGCAGGAATGAAGATGATGAACCCCTCAGGCCTGTCAGCCTGGTCAGATACCTTTACCGAAGCCACAAGAATCGGAGGAGAGAGATGTCTTTACCTGTTTCGATGTCATCTATTGAACTCAATCCATTGGAAGTGGTCTGCAAAGAGGGTGTAGGAAAGGGGAGAGAAAAACATCAGCAGAAATTCATCCATACAAAGATATTCCCGCTTCACAGATGAGACTCCCTACTAAATACACCTGGCCCTTTCTTTTACTTTATGGCCCCTATCAGTGCAAGAGCAGTAAAACCAATGGACTCTAAGGGGTCATTATTCCAAAGAGCCTATTCATTTTTACCTCCAGCAGCAGACAAACCCCACTGCTGCAAAGGAATACCAGCCCTGCACTGCACAATATCCAGCCGCGTGAGCGAACCTGTACACAGAGTAGGGTTTTTCATGTGTGGATGAGGACGCCGTGTCCCAGGTCCCAGGACACATCAATTGGTCAGCCCCACGCGGTGTGAGATCTGATTAGCCTGATCTTACACAATGTTCCTTTTCTTAGTTCACAGATTTTGCAATCTTAACAACCACGAACTTTTACAGCAAACTCAAAACAGGAAAAGGTTTCCGCCAAGACAACTGCTGAATTCGAGCTCCAGGCACAGCATAAAATGAGCCCGTACTTTACAGAAACATAACCAGAGGTAAGTATGTGTGCCTCCAGCTTAAACTTGAAAAGGCACGAGGTAAAGCGTTACTCTTCAGATACTGCATCTACTGCAACAGATTTTTGCAACTTGGAGGTTTCGCACTGTTTTTGTTTCTTGCTGAAGGAGAGATTTTCAAATTAAAAGCTAGGCACCACTACTGAAGAAAGCCGATGGGCTCTCCTAGAAAGACGTGAGGGCAAGTCACTGAACAGCCGGAAGCAAACTAATCCTACAGTATCCCATCTTGTTGTACAAAATGACCATTTTGACAGTTCCATTGCTTGCTTTAAGGAGCAGCGCGAAGTACCAAATAGCCTGGAACACGGAAGTGTGCTAGTTTCAGTCAGGAAAGAGTTAACCCTCTTTACTGTGGCTGCTAAGCAGCTGTGTTCCTGGATGCAGACAGCAGCACTGATAAGTTCTTAGCTGGCGCTGGGGAATGCCTGCACCAGATTCAAGGTCTTCGCTTCTGACACTGCAGCTGCGTTCCCAGCTCTCGCTGTCTCGCTACAGGCGGTGCAGGGGACACACAGGTCAGGCACCTGACCCAAACTGACCAAGGGGGTGTTTCATTCCATAGTACGTCATGCTCGGGGCAGAGGTGAGGAGGGGGTCCGGGAGCCATCACTCTCGCTGCTAACTCTCTCCCCAACTCCTGCGTTAGCTG